GCTCTGTCAACAGGCACTCAAAACGATATTCAATTAATACAATATTTTATGCGAATAACAAGCAAATATTACACGTCATCACACAGCCACCATTTGTGCGAATACCGTTTATTTTTTGCTTCGCATTTCGGAAGCCTTATGAAAACGATCGATTTATAGCAGAATGTCGAAATACGGACGGCATATGGGAATGCATCAATGCTCTGTATAATATTGTTAATTGGAATCAATAAAATTATAGCGGAAATCGTATTCCATCGGTAATTATAGTGAGGTGCATTATTCGAAAAGAAATTCCTTGAAGAGATGCATATAAGCATTAGGTTCACTAGCAGATGAAGTGAGAAGCACGTAGATTTCGAAGCAAGAGCATTTCAAATTAATTTCATTACCGTCTACCGATCGAATCTTTATGATTTACGAAGAATTAGAGTTAGAAAGGGCAAAGCCATCAATGTTGGAATTCAAGCACTGCTCCGTTGTAAACATAAATTGTTGAGCCATAAAAGAATAACTAACGAAATGAATAAACGTATTTATGCTCGAAATTTAACCCGCTTCAGTTTTCATATTGTTTATTGGCCCTTTTTTCACTCTCTGTTTTTGTCCGCTTTTACGATCCATTTGGGTTCGATGTGCCGAAATTTGTCAGAGTCAGGAGGGCAATGTGAAATGCAATAAAATAACATTTATACTACGAAAGGAGTTAATTGTAATGGTTGTAAAAATTCCTACCGTTTTTTTCTTCTGTTGGCTTGAAAATTGGAAGCTGATGAGAATTTTGGTTAACTTTTTCTCATTGTTCGAATTTCTTCTTTTTCGTTCAAAGTTTGTTACAATGTTACATTTGGTCCGTTCACACACATTCAACTTCTAATTAGGATGGCGCATCACAAGTGAAACGAATCGACGGTGTTTTTTCTCTTCTTGACATTCATAACTGATTGCCCAATTATTTATCATGTTAATGAGCACGGGTCTTGAAGCTTCAAAAGATGATCGAAATGCGAAAGGAGAAAAAAAACGGCCACATTAAAAAGGTGTTGAACATGAACATGCATCTAATGTGCGCTCCGAATGAGACAGCATCGTGCCATGAATAATTTTGCGGCATTCTAAAGGGTTTATTACTGCCGGTTGTATCAAGTTTTAAATCGAAATCGTTCGGTTCTTTTATCTCGTTTAACCCTTATTAATCAAAGTAAATTCCTCGTTTTGAAAGGCGTTTAAATTGCAATTTTCGAACGAGCTGGAGAAGCCATTTTTTGTTTCGATGCAAACAAATGAACGAACGGATGTGCTAAAAATGTGATTGTATTGAGTGTGAGTGTGTGTGTGCATATATGGTGATTTTGCAACTGGACGTTAATCCCGGACAGATAAAATTCGGCCCAAGAAGAAGAAAAACAAAAGCAAAGCCTTTGCCCATGATTTAAAGTGGAAAATGTATCAAGTCTGAGGAAGTTAAATAACAAAATGAGTAAAAAAAAACTACACACACAAGAAGGAAGCGTCGGCAATTCTACGGATTCAGGTAAAAATAACAGCTCGAAACCGACACGTACGACATACAAATCGACCAGATCGCATCAATATTATTTATACCCGAAATGCTTGTTTTCCCTTTGTTTTGTTGCCATTCGGTTTTTGTCGAAAAAGGCATAAAATAGAACATTAAGAGAAAAAAGGCAGAGAAAAAAATAATAATATTTCTATCGCCACCTATTCCTACCGAATAAAGTGTACGTTAGAGACATTGAAATGAATGAGAGCTGCCAATTGAAGGTTTCTGGTTCAGTTCACCAACGAAATAGACGATCCTCACATTTTTTCCGTACAAATCCCCATTGTTCCTCCGAGATTTTACTACGTTCAGATTTATTTCTTACTACGATTTATTATCAGCTCATTTTTTGTACGCGTCATTTTTTTGTCTGTTTTTTGTTGTTGTTGTTGAATACGTATTAATATAATCTCAGCCTAAACGTACTCAAAACTCTTTAGTTGTGGTTATTATCTTAACCGGTGTTGTTACTGTTTGTTGTTTCGACAATTGGTCATTGTCAACTGTCGTCGACGTCGTCGTCGTCGATGGGCAAACAAAAATATGAGAAAAGCCCAGACAAACACACTTCATTCGGACAAAATGTGCATATGACCGGGTTCCACTTGAAATGGAATGTCCAAATATTTTTTTTCGGTGCACTCAACACACGAACGGAGACACAACTATTGTAAATCGCGATGGAACACTCGTTGTTACCCGAAAAAAAAACACAGAGATAGAAGAAAAAAAGATGTATTTTTATCACAGGTTCTGCTAGTTCACAACAGGATAGCGTCGATAATGGAATAAAAGCAGTTTTTTCATGTCTTCTCTTGAGAGACGACAGAGAGAGAGAGAGAGAAACCGTCACCAGCAATACAATTGAAATGATTGGGATTTAAAGACACAAGCGCATCGTGTAAAAAATAGCTGTCGACATGAACAAAACATGTAAAATAAATAAATCGAGCGAGTGAGTGAATAAGAGAGGAGACGTGTACAACAAACCTCGCCGACAGACATACACTCTATTCATACCAACAGAGAGAGAAAGGAATCGTCATTTATATTTTTCTCACTGCTTGTTCCGTGCGTCTAGTTTGTTCATTTGTTATGATCGCTTCACATTCAGCTAGTTTTTTTCCCTTTTGTTTCGGTGAATTCCATTTATCGTTTGTTTACTCGTCATGTAAATACAAGAAGAAGAGTGAAGAGAGCGAGAGAGAAAACGTATGACCAAATGTGAAATAATAGCAATAATAATAAAACAGAATTTAATGACCAGAAACATGGAAAAAAGAGACGGGATACGAGTCACTTGAGCGACAATCACATGTTCCGTCCAAGAACCGAAGAGAAGAAAAAACCTGAGCACAAAACCACATTGCGTGTCGAGTAATAGATTTTGAGTGGAGTAATTTTGGTTTCACCAATCCAATATCCAAGGGAAAAACCATTTTAATTGGCAGATTTCATCAATTCTCGAACATAGACACGAAGAAAACAACGCCATGCCTTCAACATTAATCGTTTAAGCACCAAGAATGGTTTTGTTAAAGTCGATTAAACAATAAAATTCTTGTAAAACATCAGAGAAAGTGAAGGGAAAAATCTCAGCCCGAAAGCCGAAACCTTTCCATTCACACAGAGCATGAAATCGATCAGGAATTTCTGTGTGTGTGTGTGTTTTTTTTTTGCATAATCATCGACCTATAAAAAACCATTAGAGGGGCAACGATCAAACGAACCAGCCATTTCACGCATATCTTCGCTGTGACACATTTGTGACAGGTAAAACTATTGAAAACGCTTTAAACGAAAAGCGATTCGTCATTGATCTAATGAGTTTTGAATTTCAACAAAGTCCCTATTCTCCCATTCGTTCCAACTTCTGGGCTTCGGATTTCAGCGGCCAAAGATGAGCTGATCTCAAAATATCAATCATTTTCTCTGATGCTTATTTTCAAGTTGGTTTTTATCTCGCTTCATGTTCTTGATGTTTTGTCGGAAAAGAGGATAAATGTTTAGGAATTGCATTTTTTTTCGACAGAAAATGAGAATGAGTTTAACAAGCGGAAAAACAATGATTTTCATTGCATGATGAAATTTGACCGAATATGCTCAACTTCCAACGAAATTTGACGATGCGATGCACTAAACATACATCATATTGCAAATTTTATTATCACAAGAGGTGAGGTTGATACAATTCAATCCGTAGAAAATGCAAGAGAGAGAGAGAGAAAGAGAGAGAGAGAGAGAAAACAGCAGAAAAATCACAATCGACTTATATACACTAGTAAAGATCCGTATTGAATGCGCTCCTTTTGTGCGTTGGTTTGCTTTTGTTTTGCTTAGCTCAGTTTGGCTCGGATCGTTTTCTCTCTGCACATTCAACAAAAAAATTTCTACACTATATATATATATACAAACCGACGAGAACGATCATCCTACACATAAACACACATATATTTTACACGTTTTTCTAACGAAGACGAATAAAATGCATCAACAACAATTAAAACGAAGAAAAAAAAAGAGAGATGCATCTAACGAGCATAAGGAGCATTGAGCGCACAAAACAGAGCGACGAGAATAAAATAAAAGCAAAAAGAATGTATATACGGTGTCTGATGTGCAACAAGTTGAACAATTGCCTACCATTCGTACGTGTGTGCATGTGTCTGTGTGTGTGAGTGTGGAAATGTGAACACAAAAGAGATTCTCTTCATCGTCGTTGTCGTTGTCGTTGTCGTTGTCGAAAAAGAAAAAGACTTTGTCGAAGAAAATGCACAAGTATACGGCTTTACCGTGTTCTCCTTCCTTCATGCAATTGTATGAATGTGATGCATGGTGTTCCTGTGCTATTGACGATCTCGCATCTTGAACATGTGAATGACTCTTCTCTCTGTGCCTCTATGGCTCTGGCTCTCGAGCTGTCGATGTGTGCATATGTGTATGTGAACGAGAACCATTATGAAAGGCGATTGTGTTGCTGCATGTGCAGCTGAACGACTTGTGATGGACGACGCACACGAATGAATTTTTTGGTGTTTTTTTTTCTCTTTTCGCTTCTTCATGAAATCGGGAATTGAGAAGTGAAAATAATCGTGGTACATCGATGTTGATCCGCACCAATACTGATGCAATGCAGCACATCGGCATTTCGATAGACGTCAAAGAAGTAGATCGAACGTAAGCATCAAAGTAACAACAACAAAAATGGATGCTGTTGCACACATGAACAAAAAAGCATACACGATGCATTCAAATCGGGGTTTATGTGGGTTTCAATTGAAAAACTGCGATTTTTCTTCAATTTTTCATAAGAAAAAAAAACTTAAACAAAGATCATATTTCAATCGTATTCAAAGCGACGTGCATAACAAATGAAAATTGATGAAAACACAATACAAGTTGTCGATCATTCGATTGAGCTACGTTTGAAACCTACCTGTCCAAATTCGGTAACACGGGTGCAATACAACTTTCTTAATTTAATCGAGAAATCTCTTCGGTTCACTCGACTTTTTCTTCTACTTCTTCTGCTGTTTCTATCTATTATCTATCGTTTCTTTGAATCGATTTGCAGAAGAAAAAAAATTCAGTAAAAACTGTATTTAAGTTGAACTTTCAGTGTTTATCTATTCACTTTAAGAACACACACACGGTATCTATTCATAAAATGTGTTCAGTCACCGGACAAATAATATTCATATTTATTTATTCTTTTTAACTTCGATTCTTTCTGTTTCGTTATCAATTTTGCATGAAATTTTTATTTACAATTTAATTTCGGTGGCGCCTTTGTATATTTATGAAAGAATTTTTTTTTGTGATTTTTTGTTTATTGTTTTTGACCTATTTTTGCACTAAATCGCTCGTGTGATGTTCGTTGTATTCGTCAAAAATGTTATTAACATTGTCCATTCAGATTAAATAAAACACTGCTAATAACTGTGAGTTGTAAACAAAAAACAAGACAAGACATTCCATACGCGTTCCGATCTGATCTCTTTCGCTTTTCACTTTTTCTTTGCGCGATCTACAGATGTTTCGAATATTTGTGTTTCAATTTAATCGAACAGGAAAAAAGAATCGAATTAATTCAAATAATTGAAGCACAACTTAATTTTTGCAGCGATGACAATGAACATATCAATTTATGGTCGATTGATTTGATTCAATAATATTATTTAATCGATTTGTGGGTGATTCGTTTCGTTCGAGAATCGATTTGACTGAGGCTGTCTTGACTTAAAGATGTGCCAAATGTGCTGGGTTGCGAGCGTTACGATCCGTGAAACACACTTAATGAACTGATTCACTGTGTTATTCAACTTAGACTGAAGCGAACGAAGCATGAGCAGGCAAACAAAACAAGAATTCAGAATTTATGTCTTGTACACCGCACACGCATGAAATCACACAAGTGTATGGAGATCCGAGTTCTTGTGCGACTATAAGAAACACACACATACTCATTCACTCATCAACTCATAAGCGAACGTGTTCGAGCGCCCGTCCAACGAGTTGAGCGCTAGCATACATGCCCAGCGAAATATATCGCACAACAAATATGTGAACAACAACACATGTGCAAATGGATATATGTATCCCGTTTGCAGTCGAACAGTCAAGTTTCATGCTGCTTACGAGAGAGAGAGCATATCCAAAGAGAACAGAACGATACTTTTGACATTTGTTTATGTTTCATGTATAGGATTCCAAGGCGTTGAGCTATCGGTTATGTTGGTAGTGTATTCGATCGGATAAAAAAAACATATGAGATTTTGTTTACACATTCGAACTAGTATCTTCGGAAGCTTTCTTTTTCGAAATTCAGTCCATTCATTCGAATTCACAGAAGAATGTGAATTGGATAAATCAAATTGAGAACATGCATGATGCTGATGTTTTTTTTTATTTCCAACCTTTTTTTGTCAATGTCCAAATTTGTTCAAACAAATTTTGCTCAAAAATGCCGAAAAATATATCAGTTTATTTAAATGAAGCAATGAATTTACATCTTGGGAAATTACTAACAGTATTTACGATATATATATGCCAACGATGATCCTTACCTCCGAAAGTTCAAGTAACGGCGAAAGTTGTGGAAAGCTACGGACGGGAGCATGGACTCAAACCATCATCAAGCTTTGGCGTTGCATTGGCTACACCGCTACCAACTGCCAAATTCAAAATTGGAAATCTTTCGCGTGAAGGAAATCTCAACTGAAAAACATTCACTTCAACATAAAGCTAAGTACACAGTTCCTTGTGAAATGAAAAAATTTCTCCGGTGAAATTTTCACCAGTGATCTTTGTATCAAGTTTTTTTATATTCAAATTGCAAGTATAATGATTTTTGATATATAAAACATTTAGCTGCTATCATTATCAACACAATACATCAATAAATTTGTGTTTTGAATTTATTCTTCTATTTATTTTCGCCTCTACAAAATTTTTCACGGTCGTGAAAAATTTTTCGCGTGCAAAATGCACGAGAAAAAAATTTCACGACCGTGAAAAAATTTGCTGTGACCGAAATATATAGAAGAATAAATTCAAAACACAAATTTATTGATGTATTATGTTGATAATGATAGCAGCTAACTGTTTTATTCATCAAAAATCATTATACTTGCAATTTGAATATAAAAAAAACTTGATACAAAGATCACTGGTGAAAATTTCACCGGAGAAATTTTTTCATTTCACAAGGAACTGTGTACTTAGCTTAAATTGAAAAGCATGATGGTAGTACGAAATTATTTTTCTTTTTAATTTCAATTCTTTCAAGTTTATAATAAGGCTAATTTATTTCAATCTTGTTCATTGTTAACGAATACTAGCCATCCAAAAAAAATTTCACTAATCTCTTTGATTTTTTAAATTGTTTGGGCAAAATATTCAAAGATCATAATAAGACAAACCGATTTGTGTTTGTTTCTAAGATGAGAATTTATTTAATGTTTTTATATGTTTCGTACACGAATTTCCATTTCAAATCATGAATCTACTATATTTTCCCTGTAGCAAACAGTTTACTTGTTTGTGAAATTCAATCTTTCAATCACGTCATGTGTTGCTCAATCTTTTTTTTTAAATAAATCGTCTGGTGAAAAAAGCCAGCTTTGATTGAAAATAGGATTGTCCGATTGTTAAAAGAACTTTGTTTCTAATGGGAAATTCCCATTGGGAATACAAATTCTTCAGCTAAAACATTTGATTTTTAATTCTTTTTTAATGAACAAGGAAATGAATTAAGGAAATCTATTCAAGAATGTTTTACTGATCCATAATTTCATCATTTAAAGGTCAAATAATTCGACAAGTGTTTAAATATTCGCTTACTTTTATTTTATGAGAATTTGAATGAAGTTAATAGAACGCTTAAACTTCATAAAACTTCTACCTAAAATCAATCATTTTTAAAATTATTCACACTAATGTTTAAACTAAAAAATAAGATGGTATACGATCTAATGACTCAAATAAAATCTCAATGAATGAATTATAATTCATCAACGTCATGATTGGAGTCTGAGTCCATGGAATCAGTGCAAATTGATAGCTCAGATGAGTCTTGTGCCACGGAAGTTTCGTTGCCTGTTGTGCCACTATCGAAATCGGTTAGTGCGGGTGAAGAGGCCAGAGCATTTCCGGTGGGAGTTTTGTCATTCCCTCCGACCCGCGATTCTGGATTAGCATTCGGTGGCTGTACTTGGCATTGGCGAATGATTGCCAAACGCTGCTGTGTCATTTCCAAATGATGCTTTCTCCACTAGAAATGGCGAAAAATGTATCAGTTTATTTGAAGTAAAAATAAAGCAATGAATTTATATCTTGAGACAGTATTTCTACAGTAAATTTCTACTGATAGTATTTATGATATATGCATACCATGATCCTTACCTTGATCCTCCTGTTCTGAAACCACACTTTCACCTGATAAAAGAAAAAAAAACATTTTCTAATTTAGTTAATAGGTTTAAAATATTCAAACACAAAGGAAAATCAAAAGAAAATGGTCTAAAGATATGATCCAGAATCAAATTATAATTTGACAATAATATTGATTAGATTTAATCAAACTTACTTGAGCCTCAGTCAATTGTAGTGTGTGCGCGAGATAAAGTCGTTCGGGTCCAACCATATACTGTTGTCGTTCAAATTCGGCTTCTAATCGCTCAAGCTGCTCTGGAGTGAATATCGTCCTAACTCTTTTGCTCTTCAATGATGATTTTCCTTTTATCACGTGTTCTAATGATGGACGTGCAGTAATTAAATGTTTGAAATGAGTTGTTTGTGCTAATAAAAAAGGTAAAAAGATAGTATAAACAAAGATTCAACGAACCATTCTTGTTGCGTTGATCCTTTCCATGGAATGGTGGAAAATTTGGGCTATTTTTCGAATGGAATTGCTGCTGAAGACTTTGCAGGGCTGAGGTTCCGTTGTGATTGGCCGTGTTTAAATTGTTATTGTTATTCATGTTATTTGTCGGTTGATAAAAATGAGGCGGTTGCGGATGTGATCCTTGCAGGTGATGGTGTGTAAAAGCCAACGGGATTCGATTCTGAAGCATTCGGTTGTCGCTGTCAATATTGCCAAACGGTTTGTTGTGCATCGGATAATTTTGGTTATTATGAATCGACAAATTCATTGCATTCAACTCTTTTTGTTTCATATTTCCTGCCTCGATATTGTTTGCCGCTTGGTTTTTCTTTTTTAAGCCCAAAATTGATGCGATCGTAAATGATTTTCCCGTCGATGCACTGAGTCGTTCCAATTGTGTTTCGTCCAATTCGCACTCTGGTCCAATTCCACTGTTTGCCTGATGTGTGCCACTCATTGGTGATTGTGGGAGTGCCGTATTACTGTTGGTTGCATTTCGTATGGCCAAAAAATTCGAGATGTAACTCATGTTATACTTTGGATTTTGCAACATTTCACTCAACGGTTCGTTTAATTTGAGAAATTAGGTGATGGCTATTGATTACAAAAAACGAAGAAAAAAAGATACGAAAGATAAATAAACCTTAATTGTGCAATATCATTTCAAAGGGAATAGTAAAATAAGTTGAGCACATCGCATCTCGATAGAGGGAGAAAAGAAGAGATAAATACAGAAAATGGTGCGACAATTTTCTAATGAAATTTAATCAACCTGCTGAAGTTTACTGTAAAATGGCTTCGTATCGTCTGGATTTAATTTTCCATTGAAAATGGCATTTGAATGGGAATTGTTACATAAATTTACTCTAGCAGGAACTATCATTCGATAGGCGCTGTGATGCACCGACGGCCATCAGCATAAATTATATGTCAACTACCTTTTACTTCATTTAGCGAATGTTTTTTTCATTTGTTTTACTTTCTGTGCGCTCTAAAAATAAATAAACTTCGTAAAAGTAGGTTTTGAATTGCTGAATAGAAGAGAAAAAAAATAAGCGACTCCGATTGAAATTGAGGAAACGCTTGATGCCACATGAAAACTAAAACTATTGTGAGATTCGCAGCAGAGCGATCATTTAAACAATGACAACGCAAAGAAATGTTGAGTTGCATTCAAAATAGTTTCATATACTCCGTCGTTGATATCACATCACATCGAAAATTATAGCCTAATGAGTGTGTTTATCCTGCATGAAATTCCACATTCACAAGAAGAAACACAAACACCGACCATATCGGATTTCAACGTATCACCGTACTTCATCACCAGTGTCACCAATAAATTAGTGAACGTTACGTTTTTTTCTTTTTTTTAAGCAAACAAACTGCAGTTTCTGATGAGGGTTTTGGTTCACTTTTTTTTTGGAAGAAAAATAATCGACTTTAGTCAAAGTATACTTTGACCAAATGAGATTTTGATCGAAATTATTTTTAGAAAATCACACTTCAAATTTATTTCAAACTTTGGAATCCAAAGGCAATTTCAGAGCCGCAGGAATTCACGTAAAAATCATAGTGTCGCCATTTATTGTAAAAAAAAACTAAAGAAAAAAAACACTTTTGCAACATCAATCACACTTTGCCGACGGCTATCTATTGCCCAAAATTTACGCAAGAAAACTTTTGGGTCCATTTGTGGTTTTATCAAGGCCAAAAGCCTAGATTTTGATTTTTTTTTTGGTGGAGTTATTTTCTATTCCACTTGTTTTTCTCTCCAAATTGAAATTCGATTTGAAAATTAAAATATAAAAATTTTCCTTTACCTAAAATACACTTTTCGTTTTTTCGATAGGTTTTCTCTATCCGCTTTTCACTTTCACAAAAAAAAATAATTTGAATTTCCCCGTCAATTTACACTTTCCGATACTCCAAAGATTATTTCCACTATAATTGCATATTTCAATCGAATGATTTATCCACAAATTGTCCACAGCGTTGAAAATATGGCAATTATTCCTTTAATAAAATAGTTAACATAGTTCGTGCTTCACTGTGAATAAATCGATAAACAATGTTGCTAGGATCAATGATTCGATAAAATGTTGCGATTCAAATAGCAATCATTCAACGACACAGTTGAATCAATTGAATTCTAACACCCGAAAAATGTCTCTTTTGCAAATTCAACACAAAGTCATTTCACAAATAGCTCACGTTTCCATCTTCCGTGAAGATAAAATTGGCAAAATTGTCGTATTGAAGAATGTGACTGTGATTTGTAAATGATCTGATTAAAATGTTTTTGTGTGTGCGGTCTGACAACAGTTGGCGTAATGACAATGTGTTCACACTGCAAACATTTTGTATGCTATGATAACGTTTTGTTTCTTTTTTTCCCTCTTTATGGGATGCACGGAGCGGCTGCTGCTGCGTGGTGTATGTGTGAGCAGAGAGTGAGCACCTTCAATGGTAAAGCAGCAACCGTAATGATTCTATCCAAAAAATAGCACGACCGCCAGTGCCGTTGCCTCTGCTGTTGAAAAAGAGAGAAGGAAATTGAAATAAAAACAGAGGCAACCAGCCACACGCGCACACAAATACTCAACGTGCACGCACACACAAAACACACAAACACACACACAACCACGCACATATAGCACGACGGGCAATGGAAAATCCAAACCCAAAAATGAATGCGACGTGCTCGCATCCAAATGTTTCGTAACCGAATACACATATTTCAATCATCATTAGGCTAATATACCCTTGGCAAACAATTCTATTTTATAAAATGGAGATGTTGTGAGCGCGTTATGAGGGAGAAATGGATATTTTCATAGATTGTTGGCAGCGGAATTTTCTATTTATATACATATCTCGGGCATGTATAGGGAATAGAGCTTTTCGAGAGAACGTTGTACATGGAAGCCAATTACTTATATATACGCGTCCATAAACATTTTGCGTCAATTTGCCTGAGGCGTACGAACAAGTAGCAAAAAAAAGACACAATCTCCATTTTGTGGGCACAGAGGGAGTATGCGTAAGAGTCAAACGAGCCAGAATAGACAAAAAGTATATTTTGGGTGCATTTCATTCGCTTTGGTTTCATTCGTCCACAGTTTGAATCAATGCCAACAACTAATTTGATGATTGTACACACATTTTCGGCACAAAGAATCTTCTAAATTACTTTGAATGTTTCAATTTGTAATATACCATAAATTATTGGACACAATGTAATTGATATGTCCTGGGTGGAGAGCAACAATAATTAAATATGAACGAAGATAATGGGCATAATTTGTGTTTGTAAGCACACTTTAGTGCCATTAAATTCGGCCAATTCGAGGAGCAATCGAACGGAATGATTGTGACTTTGTACCGTCTCTTTATCTAAAAGGATGTTTTGTTTCAAGTTTCGGCACGAGAACGAGAGCAAGAGCGAATAGAAAGAGTAGAGTGAGAAAGCGAAAGAGAAATTCATCATGTGTCAACGTGCAGCATTTGAAATGTTCCATCATCAAAGGGCAAAATATGTAGCGGAGCGTCAATGCAAGCCATAGCAATGGCTATGTGTGGTGGAAATATTTCGATCAAAGCAAGTTAATGATTTAACTAAATTCATTAATTCATTGTTGCAACCGAAAACCCACCCCGAAAGGAATGTGCAGAATTTGTGTTGGCAATTTTGTCTTTGTCATCGAAACCGCTCATTAATGTGCAATGTGTCTAGATGTCATTCAGAAATAGTTCACGTTTAATTTGTATTACAACGATTTATTTCCTCGTTCCACAGAAAAAAATCGAAACAAAATGAGTTTACTCTAAATCAATGAAAGAAGAATGAATAGAGCCAGAAAAAAATTGAAAACGGCCGATTACATAAAGTCGAAGAAACGAAACAAAAAAGCAGCAAAAGCACCAACAGCAGCATATTACATATTTATTTATTCATTTACTGGGCGGTTTTTATCAACATCAACGGCATAATCCACACACTCATACACGCTCAATTTAGCACATCACTTTGCGTTGATTTTGTGCCAATTTAAATCGACCAAATATGAAGCCAACCAAAATATTGACGGTATAAACAAAAAAAGAAACGAGAGGGAGAGAGAGAGAGGGAGCATCCTGAATATAAACACATCAAGCACATGAATGGTTTTGTGGGATAGAATAAAAATATACCGCACTCACGCACACACACTCACTCGAAATCGTTGTCATCGCTGTTGCCGAATAATTGGCAATAAACAGAAACCAAGCGCAATAATCCATAGCATGAAAAAAGGAAAGGCAGAAAAAATCATCCCTGAAAATATTTCAAGCACCGCCTTTTTTATTCGATTCTACGTGTGTATTTGTGTACACAAAATTGTATGGGCTAATGATAGCGAGTACACATCATCATTTTCCCCACCAAAGCGCGCGGCTCGTGCATCTGTGTGCGCAGTTTCGTGCATATGACGAACGCATCGGTGTGTCTGTGCCTGTGTGTGCGCGCGCGTGCCCGAGTATATGTGTGTGTATACGAGCTGTGCTGATTGCTTGTACGATGGTGAAGAGCAACGAACGTTGCTGTATTATGAAAATGGCAAATAAAAATACTAACCAAGATGCTTCTTCAACCTTTCATCCGGGTGAATTGCACGAGCGCTCTAATGTGTTTCAACCAGACAAATACATCTTCATCGTTTTTAAAACGATTTATTCGAGTTCCCTCCAGCCCATTTTTTTTGCTTCTTGGAAAGCCTTTCCAACCAAAAAACGATACATTAAAAACTGTAGTACATGCCAATGATGCTTTTGGCCATATTTTCCCGGTCAACAACGATAAACACAACAATTTAGTAAAATGAAATTGAGTGAAATTCTCTGCAGTAAAAACAAAGCACATACTTGTATTTCGAATCGATTGACAATGGGAATTGAACGAAACACTCGAAAATCGGAATGAACTATTTAATTGATCTCAGAATGTTTGAGCGTGTTATTTTACAAAAGCATTGCACCCCAAAATGGGCTACAATAACTTTGAGGTTTTCCTGTTCAAACATTTTCGCCTGTGCACTTTTGGCAAGGCTCCAATCAATTTGCAAATCGAGAAATTCAATCGACCCCAAACGTTCTAATTTCACAAACAAACGAGGTCTTATTTTTGGTTAGACAACTTGACGATCACATTCGACGATTCTCGTCGTTGGTTTAATGCTTTTGGAACGTTTTTAATTAAATACACAGTTTCAATTCACTCTCCAGCTTATGGCTATCATCATCGGCTGCTGCATACTGCTAAAATACTTCATGCTACACGGCTGCTCTATCCTCGATAAATACATGGCGATTTGACTGTTTCCATAACAACAACTAGCCGTTAAATGTGTCGTTCGTCTGGACAGCATATGATTTAATGAACTTTATCCGTTTAGCGGTATTGTCACATAAAACCGTTTTGCTGTTGTAGATAACGGTAATTACATTATGTCTGGCGATTTCACGAAATTCCATGGTCTATGGTAAATTATCGTCATGCTACCTCTCTCTTCTCTCTTCTCTTTCTCTGTCTCTCGCTCTCTACAATAATGAATTTCCATTTAATTGGAGAGACAAAAAAAATCTGGTATGGTTTTTTATCTACTTTAATATCTACTCTTTGATGATGAACATTGTTGCACTCTGAACAACGGGGAAAAAAACTCATCGATTTATGACTACAAATAATATACTTGACATTCGCATAGCTAACGTTCTGCTGCTGCATGCAAAAAATCCGAAAATTTATACATAAAACTACTTCAGTTTCATCAGTAACATTTTCAACAAAAATTCAGCTTTGAGTTCTTTATGTTGCAATTTGTTTATATTTCATTCAATGTAATTGATATCAATGAATTAAAATTAATTCGTTGACCCAAACTCAAATGGTATTGAACCAGCAAAAAAAATCCAATTATCCACTGAAAAAAGAACGAATCCAGCAACCATTGATGTTGAAATAATTGCATTTAATTGCTGATTGTTCACTGATTGAAATATCACATTCAAGTGATGAACAATAAATACAAATTTTTTATTTTAATAAATTGTTTATTTTGCGGCACTCTGTCCCAAAAGGCACGCACAGTACATAAGAGCCAATGCAAAAGTCAATTGATGCGCATAAGTAGCGCCACCTCTAATGATTACGGAGAGTTACCATAAGTCGTATGCAATTGATGTTGAGAAAAAGAAGAAGAAGTAGACATTCTATTCATTTACATGGCAATAATGACAATCAGTAGAGATGGTGCTCATGTGCCGATCATATCACTGTTACAACCCTTCGTCTGTCCTATGGCGAGCAATTAAATGCAATTTATTCAACATTTGATTCGTTGGAGTTGCGTTAAAAACTTGTTTCCTTGTTGAAAATGAATTTCCATAACATTCATCATTACCAAATTTGAAAATGAAAATATTTCACTCATATTTTAGCATTAAATTTACATTTCATTTCCAACGCAGAATCTAAATACATTGAAGTTCCCTTTGGATGTAGCGAATTTGCAACAAAATTGCTTCAAAGTATTCGAACATTGAGACAACAAACTAACAGAAAAAAAAACTATGCACTTGATTATGAAAAAGTGCAATCCATTTCGAAATGTTGAAAATGCGCTGCTGGTTTTTCTGCATTTGCTGTTTCGGTGGTCTTTTGCTCCGGTTACAGATGTTGTACCCTTCGGAAAAAGTGGCCGTAATGCACATGAGCGCATTAGTTGCGATGGTCCGCTTTGTGAATGAACAATTTTGGGTGAACGCAATGAATGCCATCAAATTATTTCCGCTTAATAAGTCAAAGCGAAATCATATTAAATTCTGTTGTTAAGTTGTTATTAAATCTTTAAAATTTCAATTGGAATGACGGCGGCATTGATGACGACGGCATTGGGAGCAACAGCAGCAGCATCAGTAGCAGTAGCTTTCAACGATGTGCAATATTGTATTTTTCGGCGCAGGCACTAATGATAGGGTCATTGTCATACAAGTGTCTTGTAAAATTTGTCATTATTACGTTTTGCTCTTTGATTTACAAGCAAAAACACTCGCAACAATCTGTTTATGTCGAACACGTGCAACGCGCATTCCATTTATCATTTTGAGCATCAAGTGAAATCAAACATATTGTCCACGGTATTTATTAGGGGTAGAATGAAAAGCACCGCGCCGTGCCGCACGAAACCAACGAGGGATGCGAATGAAACGATTGAAAGTGTAACCAATATGAAGACTAGTTGCTATTGAGTTGATCGCATTACCGTATTGGTGGTCTCATTACTGCATGCCTCTCCCGTATTCTTGTCGTGAATGAGCATTTTTGCTGGTCGACATCAAACCCACAGTCAACCGTGTGTCGTTCGAGCAGCACATCAATGCTTGGTGTAAGGGTGGATGAGAATATAAATGAGTGTTACTTTTTCACAACAAATCGCTTCACTTTGGGTTTGCTGTTCAACGCAAGGACATCTGCACCACCCAACCGGAACGAAAAATATCTATTTTTACGCTATTTAAAAGCCATAAATTAATTCTCGTTGAATGAATCGAAATTAAAGCGAATCTGACATTATTCGAGTCCTTTGTAAACAAGACGTGAATGGAAAATCCACTTGCACTTCGCGCGAGTGGACTGGTGTCAAAGCGTATAATATTCAATTATTAATAACCAAATATTTATCATTTTTATTAATTATTATCAACAATAAAATGAGCAATCATTGGATGCGATATTTGTTTTCACGGTTATTGACTACAATTGCTGAACAAATATTCCCCTCGTTATATAACGTTTGGCATCGTTTCTTTTCAATTAGCATCGCTTGATGGTGATGATGGTTGCCGTGACAAAACCAACAAATGCAATTAAAGTGTGAACATGAATGTACATCGGCAAAAAAAATAGGCAAATTGAAAAGGAGTCTTCAGTTTAGGAGACATTTTTCAATGTCGAATCGACGTTGTCGATCCAACAAAGTCTGATTATCAACCTCTCCGACAATTGAACGCAACAAAAATTCACCATCATTTAATCTGAATCATCCAACTATTTTATTAGTCTAGCAATGTGCCTATGCAGCACTTGAAATGAACCCCAATGAAATAACGTTTCGATCTCGCAGCGATAATAATGTTCGTACAGCAAAAACAAGTTTCAACCTGAAATTAAATTTATTACGATTTTTTTCCCCGCCTGTCGGTTGACTATTGCCAAGCAGAAACTACGTTGATGAATACCCTATTTTGCAGCTATATTTTCTGTGACACAAGACGACGTAATGAACTTTAAACTAAATTCGAATATATTTCACATCATTTTGTTCAAACGGATATCAAGAGTCATTCTAACGCATGAATAATTTAGCGAAGCACCTCTCTTTCTCTCTTTATCTCACTCCATCTCTCTCTATCTATCTCTATGGCGTAGTCCAAATATGTTCTTAATTTTTTTAAATCGAAATTAGCGTCTTCAGATGAAAGAGCAATTACACCAACAGCTTTTATTTTCATTAACATATTGAACAACTGAATAGAGGCGGAATTCACATGATAGTTTTCACTTTTGAACGGAGTGAATAAAATCAAATTAGTTTCGTTTTTCTCCCAGAAAACTGAGAAAACTTGCTAAATTGCGTATTTTAATTTAGATCATGAAGTGTTTTCATCTAAATGCCGGCTGCGTGCTCGAATAATAATGATTCACCAGTTTGAGTAATTGCTTCAGAAGTGTTCAACGATCAACAAAGCACACCATAAATTAGATACCAATTGAAATTAATGAAAAGCATGAACCGACATCAATCGGCAGAAAATTAAGGAAATATTCATATATTTATGAGCTTCATTCTTGAACACTTCACAATAAATAGCCTTCCTTATTGATAGATAAATTAGAACGAAAATGTAAACATAATGGAAAAAAATGCCCCACAAATGCTTATTTCCGTCAAAATATTATTATGAATTGTTTGGCTCCTGCAACCAAAGTGATAATTCGAATGAATAGTGCCACAAAGATAGTGTGACGAAACATTTGCCGTTAGATAATAGTTTCGTGATATTTGTGAGAACTCTAATCGGCTTGGAGTGTCATATTTGTAAGGGACAAAACAAAGCCTAGATCAATACACGCATTTTCATATCATACGATAGATATTTATTGCTTAGCACTGGAATGCGATGAATGTGCGTAGATTCGGTGCAAAACAATCTAATTTACTATAATTGTCGAATGAAATGGGCCAATACTATACCGACAATCATACGAGAGGTCGACACTCAATTCAAAAATATATACGTCACTTATAAGGTAAATATTTTTCTACCTCCTGGAGCCGATTTGAAGGTAGCAGCCTCGATATGATAAATACGATATAAATGACATTTTAATGATTTTCTAATGTGCTCGTGTTTGATTAGGTATCGGCACGTGAACGCTTTTTTTCAATCCAATTGATTTATTGTGATCGGTTATTATATGGCAAGTGTGAAGTAGTTTTTGCACAATCACATCTAAGTACGTGTGGATCGTATATCAAAATATTTACGGAACAAAAACAAGGTAAGGTTGTACAGTGAAAAAGCTTGATGTAAAACGAAACAGAGATTTTGACGCGTTTCCAACAAATAGTTCGCGTGCAATGTGCGCGTTAAAAAAACAAACCCTTTTTAATGATTCACATCGTAAAATTTGATCAGAAATTGCGTTAAAAATTAAAACTTTGAAGAGGATATTAGATAGCTGAACATATGAATCAAAATATTTACTTGTTTACTTTCTTCCGGCCTTTTCTCTAATGATGCAATTCGAATTGCGTTTTGACTAATATGAAGAAAAAAGTGGGCAAATCCACTTGAGAATCGTACATCCATTGAACGACGTAAAATTTTGAAATGGCTGTACTCAATGATTTGGCTATCGATTGATATATCGATTCGTGATAAGACAATTGATCGATTGGTATAAAAGGCCAGCGGATATTCTGAGAGTCCACCAGTGAACTTTATCAGTGCTTAAATCAGTGTCAAAACCTAAAGTATCTATATCAAAAGTATGCAAACGACAGAAGTTCGATTTGTGGTTCTGTTTCTATTCTTGTACAGTGGTGTAGAGGCAAAGTTTCGCGAATGTGGAGAATTTGATCCGAATGGCATAGTTGCACGTACAATAAAAGAAGATTTGAAGGTATTACCATTCCAAGACGAATTGAAAAAGATTTTCGATGCCTTTGACAAAAATGATAACGAGCGTATGGAAGAGGCTTATAAATCATTGGAAAATATCGAAATCAACGATGTAGAAGATTATGCAGCTGATGTCATCAAATTTGTGGTAAGAGCAGTTTTCCTAATAATGGATGTTTTCGATTGATTTTTCATATTGAATATTTTTGCTGAACAAATGAATGCATTTTGTTGTGATTTTAATGCTTTTAATAAAAGTTAATTTATTTTTCTATTTCGTTAATTCAATTTTAAAGCCTGATCGCATCAAATCTGAAGGTTATCCTTCAGAAGTACATCAGGTACAGACAGATGATGGATATAAATTACAATTGCACCGCATTCCGTATGGAAAAAATTCGCCCAAAACTGATAAACCAAGACCACCTGTATATTTAATGCACGGTTTCATGGATTCGTCCAATGGCTGGATCGTGTTGGGACCAGAAAATTCTTTAGGTTCGCTACTTGCTATTCTAGTCTTTTCTAAATAATTTACAGAATTCTTGATGGGAATTGACCTGCATTTCCATTTTTCAGCTTACTTGCTTGCAGACGAAGGCTACGATGGTAATTTTTTGCCGTAGAATAGTCGTTTATAAAGGCATTTCAACATACATATATGTAAAAGTATGATATTTTCAGTCTGGATGGGTAATGCGCGAGGAACCGAACCATCACGTGAACATGTACGCTTGAAACCGAATGGGTTAAAACAAAAAGAATTCTGGTCATTTTCGTGGCATGAAATTGGAGTTTCTGATTTGCCCGCATCAATTGACTACATTTTGAATGAGACGAAATTCGAGAAATTGAGTTACGTTGGATTTTCACAAGGAACCACCTCATTCTTTGTATTAACATCGATGCGACCCGAATATAATAACAAAATCATCGAAGCGAATTTGTTGGCGCCTGTGGCTCTTTTGAAAGGACATAACAGTCCACTGTACAGTGTCATCGCACATTTCTACAAACCACTCAAGAAAGTGTTTGAAATCTTACGGATCTACAAGCTTACCATTAGCAATAAATTATTGTTGAAAATTTCTGAGGTAGCGTGCAAAAAAACCGTACACTCCACTCCATTTGCTTGTAACCTCGTTCTCTCGCTATTGGATTCAAGCCAAATCAATTGCGTAAGTAGTTTGAGAGCTTTGAGAGCAATAATTTTTTTTCGTTCAAACTTTAATCCTGAATTAACGATATAAAATTAAATTATATAATTTTTTTTACTTCAGACGAGCTTGCCATTCATCCTCGTGAACACACCAGCAGGCGCAGCTTTGCGACAAGGCATTCACTACATTCAGCTGATTCGAGACGGTGGTTTTCGTCAATTCGACTACGAGGACAAGAAAGTCAATCAGAAAATTTATGGAAGTGACACTCCACCGCCGTATAACTTGACTCAAATCAACGTCCCAGTGCATTTCATCCACTCAAAAGACGATAACACAGCATCATTCGAAAATGTGATGCAAATGAAAACAATGCTACCAAATCTGAAGAGCACATACCTCGTTCCGATTGCCGATTTTTCACACGTCGATTTCATCTACAGCCGCTATCTGCGCAAAGTAAACGACCATATCATTAGAAACATTAACAAATCCAATCTAAAATGATTGGAAAGGATCAACAAGAAATTGATGTTGAATAACTAAACTAAGCGTGATAACATTTTTTGTGAAAATGTGTGAAAATTCAAAAATTCAATAAAGTTTCTACTCGCTGTTCGCTTCTTTGCCAATTATTTTACAATTCAAAATGCACTTTAGTCGATCGCTCGAAATGCACTTATCAAAACACAAATATTATTCTTGAACTACTCGAGGTGATAGTTGAATAAATAAAACTCAAATGATATTTTGATCAATTTCTTGTACCTCTTTTGTTAAAACTGTTTTGTTTGTATTGCACTTGAACTTTATCACCTAGTACATTCACTTTGCATTCTTGTGTTTCCATCAAGATGGATATCAATGTGCAACCAGTTTTGAATGTTTAGAAAAAAATATTTTTGTGCAAAATCATCTTAGATCCTTAAATTCTAACCAAATTAATTGTGTAAGTAAAGAACATTGTTTTGATGAATCAACAAAAATAATAATTATAAATTGTTTTATTTGATAAGTTTGCCATCAATTTGGGTAGGCACACCATCTGGCAGTTCTCTAAACCAGGATTCATACTACAATCAATCGATGCGCAATGATGGATTTCGTCCATGCCAAAGCAAATAAAGAGAATCACAGCTTACAGTCCGATTTGCCAAATGTAAAATCAAGATATGTTATTCTATTGCCCAATTTAACGTCATGTCTGCTTTGCGTATAGTCGCTACGTATGAGAAGGTTTAAATGACAAACTTATTAGAACCATCAACAAGGCCAACCAAAATAATTAAACCCGGATGGAAACCGAAAGTCATCATGCATGACGTGTGCAAATACTCAACGTACGCATTTTTTCTGTTAAAAGGGTCCGTACAAATATAAATCAGAGTGTCTTTGTGGCTTTCTTTTTATTATCGAGTTAACATTTTAAAACAAGTTTAACAACAAAAGTATGTTTCTTATATCATTTTTTGGGAGGAAAGTACTCCGAAACTAATTCGCATGCGTATTTATTTCCCCGTTCGTCTATATTCTTCTACATTCATGGGCGCATGTGTAAGCGGCTGGTCAGTTTGCTACTATTCTCCTTTCGTTTTTCCGAATGTGTATTTTACAAGCAAAATAGAAGGGATAGTAGTATTTATTGCCTGTATTTAAAATACAAACGATTTAAAGCCTGTGCTGAATGTACGGGTGCTTTATTCAGAGCATGCTCAGCTCACTTGGGAATGAGTCTTCTTTTTTGTTTCAATAAAGAACAATTGGAAAATAAAACAAGAACTCCAGTCGATTCAATTCAATCAGAATAAAATAGCTTGATGTCAATTTCTTTTAATAATAATAAAGTTTGAAGCTTCGCTACATAAAAGTTAAGCAATTAAATTAGATTTATAATTAATTCGATCAGTGATACAGTGAATTTAACGGTGGTAATTAGTGCAGAAACGTAAATGAAGAATGAAATCGATACAAGTTGGTGTCATTTGTCTGTTCCTATTTTTGTGCAGTGTAGAAGGAAACCTGCATGAATGTGGAGAGTTTAATCAATGGGGTGATCTTTCTCACGTAACGATAGAGAAGCAGTCCGAATCATTGCTATTTCAAAGTTTACTGAGTGATTTTATAACTGCCATCAACACTCGTCCACCGAACGGAGTGTATGACTTTATGGGAAATATAATGAAAGGCGCAACAGCAACCAAAATGTCATTCAGCTCCGATAAACTTATAAAATTTGTGGTAAGCTTTTACGCTAGCGAAATATGAGCAATCAATTCTAATGGTTTTATTTGCACAAAAAATAGCCTGATCGTATCAAATCAGAAGGCTATCCCGCAGAAGTTCATACAGTTGTAACCGATGACGAATATATATTGCAATTACATCGAATTCCGTATGGAAAAATTTCGCCTAAAAGTAATAAACCCAGACCGCCTGTATATTTAATGCACGCTTTTATGGAATCATCCAATGGCTGGATCGTATTGGGACCAGAAAATTCTTTAGGTTCGCTACTTGCTATTCTAGTCTTTTCTAAATAATTTACAGAATTCTTGATGGAAATTCAAATGGACCTGCATTTCCATTTTTCAGCTTACTTGCTTGCAGACGAAGGCTACGATGTTTGGTAAATAACGATTACTAATGTTTGATGTACCGTCAATTTTGTATATGAGGCTGTGAGAATGAAAATGGCAATACAGGAATAAACATTCT